AATATTCACTCTCAGCCACACAGAACAGTAAAAAGGTCATGTCACACATATTTCCCGTCTAAATTCTTAGATACCCCCATCTAGCACATATACACACTCACACACTCTAAACCCATCCTCTGCTGCCTCTGTGTGAACCACAACGCCCTGTCACACTAACACACATAGACGTGGTTGTGGTGAAAGGAGCCCCTGCAGCTGTGTGTCTGTCTGCACAGAGCAGCAGAGCTGTGCTGAAGTAGTGAAAGTCAACAGAGAAATGCTTTCTGAGAGACAGCAACTTCAGTAGGTGGCGGAAATTGTAATAAGGGCCACGGCTTGTGTCTGTCAAGCTTGTCAGGATGGTGCACGAGGATATGTGTGTTCTCATATATGACACGTGTGTGTGTTAGAAATCAAAAGGGAGGTCAACACTTGTAAATGTCACCATTTACTTCAGAAGATAAACACTTTGTTCATCTGTAATTACAAAAAGAATAACGCTGTCTGATGAAGAAACCCATTGATTTGTATTTGAAATTGTGGTTTGAAACAACCATGGCTATCACCCCATTTCATCACAGTTTCATCAAAAACAAACACACCCACACATGCAGACGCTATGTACTTGTCAACAGATTAGCCTTTCATTCTTCGTATGTGTATATATCCAATTTGGTCTCTCTTCAAATATTGTTTTTTATTTGTCCGTCTCAAGTGCTTGGTGTGGGTGTGTGTTTGCATGTGTGTCTGCAAGCTCAGTGATGCCAGTTTTTCATCCTCTGTCATCATCATAAAATAAACTATGATAACTCAAGATGACAGCGAGAGAAACAGTGAAAACTAAAGAATGGGATAGAGAATGAAATATAATGGGCAAGGGGTGGAAAAAAGAGTGAGAGAAAGATCTTGTCCACTTTGAATGTGACATTGTCAAAACAAAAAGTGCAAATCGAATAAAACAACAGCTTACAGGCGCTCTATAAGCGAGTGCAGTTTAGGAAAGGAGGGGAAGAGGATGACTGATGGTTGAATGGAAGCTGAACTATTGAGACACCAAGAGTTGGATTACCGCCATACAGGATTCTTTCTTCATCCCCTTCTCGATCACTTTGAAATAGAGGAATGCTCAAAAGAGGAGTGACAGAAACTGTCAGCATTAATAGGCAGTGAAGCTGTCTCCCCGTCTTTGTGTCTTTTAATATCCTCTCATCTATCCCATCTGCCTTCATGAAATCCAATTTGCCTTGACATTGCTGAATGAATGGTGAGAAAATGTCAAAACCAGATGAACAATAAATATTTGAAAAGCTGAATCAAGAGCGGGAATTAAAATAGAGCAAAGTGGGGGGTTTTCACCATCGCCAGCTGGTTCTATTCTATTATTTTCTATTATATTCTGTAGGGTTCAAAATAGCATATTGATCACCCCATCATTTGCGGCCTTACTTATTAAATTGTCTTTTAGATCATTGGTATTCATTGTGTTTACTTTATTGCCAGCATAATATTTCACTTCCTTCATGCTTCATTTGCTGCATTTTCATTTGCCAAAACCCTACTCCAACCGTATATTTCCATTCCCATTGTGCAGCTAAAAAAACCCCATCCCACTCTTTTCTGTCTGCACTCAGTCCTGCCGTTCTTTAGCTAATGAACAGTAGAGCCCCTGCACCATAATAATTAAACTGCATGTAATTTGTAGTAATTGAATGTGGGTGTGAAAATGAGGAGAGGAGATGTACTGGAGATTGGAGTGGTAGCGGGGCATTAAGCACCTGTCTGTCTGTCTGTGCGTCAGCCCACTGAGGGATGAGAGAGGGGTCTTAATGGTGATTGTGTTGTTCCCTTTACTGCAGAGCAGAGGGAGGGTGAAGAATTAGTTGAAGGAGGAAGAATAGGAGCGGAGCAGGACGACAAGAGAAAAAGCACAAGGTTGAGAGAGAGGAAGGAAGAGGGTTTAGGGAAACGTGAGGGGTGAAAATGAAGCTGGGGAGAAGTGAGGAGGATGAGGGTGGGGAGATATGGCGTATGCACAGGTTAACATGCATCTTGTGTGAATTAATTTGTACGCGTGTGTGTGTGTGTGTGTGTGTGTGTGTGTGTGTATCAGCTGTAGATTAGGATTGTACAGCCTCTAAGTCTCTCTTTAACCTGAGGAGCCAAGACAGACTGCGATGATGTGATGATGATCTAATCTTGGGACGAATCCCAGAGCTGACGTTGGGTAATGGGAAACAACAGCCAGGACACCAAGACAGCACCCGCTGTGATTTTACTGGGATGCCACTGTATTTTCTGAGTCACAGCTGGAAGCCCTGCATTCAAATTATATTCAGTGGGATGGAATATCTCAAACAAAACATTTATGAGCCCACAGAGTTAGTAACCACTGATAAAACATCTCCGTAATGTATCATGTGACATCATCAATTCAAGTCTTGCTTCCCCTATTTCCAAAGAAATTTTTATACATTGACTTTAGAGTGTGAAATAAATAACAGTTCTTGTTTTGGGGTGTTTATTCCTCTTTAAATAACTTTCAATCCGCTCTGTCAATCTGTGTGTGTGTTTGTGTGTGTGTGCGCGCGCTCCTGTGAAAACGTGACATGGGTTTCAGGTTAATTTAGCTGTGGCAACTCCTATCCAGCAGGCCCTTCTGACGGCATTCATCAAACCACAAATGGTTTTTCTTCTCATGAATATGCAAACACCCCCACAGCCAATCAAAATACCATCCTGCTCTGGCACACATAATACCCCATGCACACAGATGTGTATGTTGTGTGTTGTGTGCAGCTGCAGCCTTGCTTAAAGAGACATATAGACACACTTGCATGGTGTTGCACCTACCTGCCACACAAACACACACAAATGATAGGTGGTCTCACCGTAGGAAGGATTATAGTTCAGAGCTGTCTCACAAACCCACAACATATAAAATGGTAGAGAGTTTGCTTCAAGACAGTTTCATTTTCAAAGACGGAGCTCAATCGCGCTTGATATGTGGAGACAGTGAAACGTTTTCAAAGTGCCATAACTCCGCTGCAGGTGAATACTTATTCCTCACTTCCTTCAGCTGTGTTTTTCCCAATCGGATTTCATCATTTTCAAAATGCTATTTTTATGGCATCATGTCGTGTTTGATTTGTAGTTCTAGACTGTCAGTATTAGTTGTTCAATACACTCGGGCTTTGCTAATACAAATCTAAACACCTCTGTCATACACTGAATTAGAACACACACATGTAACAGCGTGGTGGGGGTTTTTTTGCCATAATTTGTTCAGTGTAATTCAGTTAAATTCAATTAGCAGTGGGAAAAAAAAAACTTTCACCCTGCTATAGAGTGCCCTCTCTATGACCTCTGTCCTTTTTACAAAGATAAACAAACACACTTTTTCACACAGGCTGCCAAATCTCCTCAGGGCACAATCACACAGCTTTAATGTGAGGAACCCCACTGCTTTAAAATCTCTCTTTTTTTTTATCAGCATTCAACTGTAATAGAGGAATCCCTTATGTATTCTAACCTGTACACGATGTATGCCTTAGTCATAGAGATATAAACACACCCTGCCGGTGCTGCACCCTACTGTGCTGGGATATGAAAAGTCAATTTTTATAGTGCAACTGACACAGACAAATGCTGTTCCCAGCCCGGGTGAAATATTTTTGAAGTGACATAAAAGGATTTGATGGAGGGAAGTCATAGCTTTTTTGTATTGTGTGACCCTTTCTGTCATTTCCATTACCATAAAGTCAAGCAGACGGATACGCTGTGGCTATTTCATAGACTCATTTTATAAGCACGTACACACAGACACATAGAGTGACTTATTATATTAGTTTTAGTATTCTCTATGGATTCTTAGTGAAGCTGCATTTGGCTGGCGATTTCATTTCACTAATGTTTATTGTTCCCACTGTCAAGATTCTGCTGCTCAGATGCTGAAATTGGATGGGAGGGAAAACGGCCAACATTCTGTGTAGGCTACAGTACATGCACACACATATACACACACACATACAGTACACATACACGAAAAGTCTCCCTCTCAGTTTTCAGTAGTCTGTTTAGAGACGCTAACAAGGATTCTGTTCACGCTTCATGCGTTTCAGTCCTCAGGAGAAATATAATGTGCCGTGACACTAAATATTCAGTCCAATATGGTGGCCAAAGCAGGATACTGTGTGTGTGTGTGTGTGTGTGTGTTTGTGTGTGTGTGTGTGTGTGTGTGTGTGTGTTTGATTTATTCCACCCCTTGCCAGTCGGGGGAAGCCAAACATGGCATGAAATAATATGCCAGCAGTGTGGCTCTGTTAGCTCACTGCTTTCACTCTCATTGAATCTTAAGGCTGCATTTATCTTACACAAACACAAACAGGTAGTTTACTGAGTAAAGCAGCTCTGCGCTAGATCCATGACTGAAGGCCCAAAAACAACTTTTGTTTGATCTCTTGAGATAAGTTATTCCTTCATGCATAGTAAATAACTTGCAGCGCAAGTCTAATTAAAGTAAATATTTGGTAAATATTAAAGTTTATTATTTGGTGCCAGTTTGGAAGTCTGCACTTTTCTACCCATTTTTTAATCTTCCATGTTATAATTTTCTTGGGATCAAAGGTGGCATTTCAGCATAATTGGAACTCCAGGGCAGTGACACATCAATCAACTTTACCCAAATAAACGCATGCATTGATCAAGATGAGCAAGTTCAACACAAAGCCCTTATTAACACAAAACTGGTACACAATGCATTATAATTGGCACAACTCACAAACACGGCTGACTACAGCACTAGTACAGTCTGTGTCATGATGCCTTTGGCTAGATTGTTTCTTCAGATGTACTAAATTTGGTATTTTATTCCTTGAGGCCACCATCACTATTATAAGCTCATTGAACTCTTGACCTTAAATTTGCTTTCAGCAGGCACCGTAGTGTGTTTTAGTAAAAGTGAAACATACCTTGCAAAATGCCTTTTTAGCATAATAATAATAATAACACACACACATACAGACAACTAAAAAACTTTAATTTTGTGTACATTACAAAAATAAATTCTTGTACATTAGAAGGTATAGCAGCAAGTATCACAACTTGACCAAAACACCTTCAAATAAAATAAAATCAGTAAAATGATGACATATGATCAGTATTACTGAAAAGTACACTATACACATCCCATCATCAATGCTACCCATGGGGGTCTCTCATGCGGTTCGGACACTGGGCACAGCTCAGATGACCTCACAGCAAGCCATCCCACTCCTGACACCATATGCGGCCAAAGGCGAGAGCGGTCACCCTACCCATATTCAAACACAGGTCTACAGGGTACCAAACATGCAACTTTGAAAGCAAAGGCAAAGAGCCAGGCTCGTTGGTATGGCAGTCCAAGCGCTTATTCAACTGTAGTGAAGGAAGCATACAGTACAAATGGTGGATCCAAACTGATACTGAAAAATGTCACAATCCTTATCCTTGGAGTGGAGGGTCGGTTATCTTTGAGTAGGACTCGTTGCATTTTCTGCAACTGCAGACACTATGGGATTTGGAAACTGGTTTATCACACAGCATCTGTGGAAGGGAAAAGGAAATATTTTGTCTATATCAAAGCAATATTACCTCTAATGAACTAACAACCATTGTCTGATTTTTTTAGGTTCAGGTGAAATGGTTTTCCATAAGTGAGTGGTGGAAAAGAGTTAATGCTCAGTTCTTCCATTACAACAGGATCAAAAACATTACATAAACACTACTGTACATTCAGCCGAGGAGCTGTATATGATGAAATGTTATTAACAAATAACACAAACATTCAGACCTGCTTAACAACTGTGCTGTCTACATGTCATTTTACATTACACAGCAGGCAATTTGTAAAGTACAAAAGTAGCCAATTACTTAATATATAACAATATTTTGAATATACTTATTTTTTCACAAGAATATTTGTTTCTTTAGTCTGACCCTGTTGACATGTAGTGAGAGCAAAAACAGTGATCGTGTGCAGGAGCCAGACATACCTATGAGCACATTGAGCTTGTCAGGGTCCGGCTGGTCCTTTGAGGTTTTTGTGGCCTCTAAGCAATCTGAGTGAGGCAACGATACCAGGATGCTCTAAAAGAAAAGAAATGCAGTTGCAAATGACATATAATAAATATTCAGTTAGGCCAGTACTTCCACCTAGTTTAGTTCTTCATTTGCTTATCATTATAAACACTGTAACTCTATTATTATTCTTATTCATTTAATTTTCTTGAGCTAAGGCAGGAAATTCCAACTCTAGGTTTAGCATTAAGTTGGTTAAAGTTGGCAAAGGGTAGGTTCAAAAGTTGAATACAGGATCTATGACCATACAAAACATCACATGCTATTAGATCATGTGGTCAGGCATTGCAGTACACAAAAACATTATTTCAAGCAACAATTCTCACATACCTGTGTCACTGTAATGATTACCCCCTCCATGGTTGCAGAGAAGAGAAATCTCTAAAAAGAAAAACAGTGTGCCTTTAAAAGATATCCACTTTTAAATAGTCTAATGCAGATGCTTAGCTGATGATTCATAGTAGCTTCAGCTAAACTTTAGAATGAATTTATACAAAAATGACAACTGTGGTGATGTCTTTACAGACTATATGGGCAGGAATAATCATTACAGTGACCAAGAACTTACTGTAAACATGTACATGTGAGTATTAAGGTAGACTATACAAATGTGAACCTATTCTTTAGCACACAGACAGCAACATATTAGTAGCATTTATTACTCTAATAGAGACCTCACTGGTCATTTTATCAGTGCAAAAGCAGAATTGAGGGCTCATACACACGCATGCACAGGCCTACCTTTTTAAAATCTCATGCATCAAATTCCAGCAACAGTGTTACGGAGACTGTATATTACTGAAATTTTAGTAACATTAAAAACTGCCTTACAGCAAAAAGCGTAACGATTATGAAGCTATTAAAATGCTAACTAACGTTAGCTAATAAATATATAAATCCACGTGCTAGAATAATGCACACCAGCGCTATCCACCAAGGAAAATATTTTCAAACCCAGAGTGAGCTCAACTTTAGTTAACTTACACAGTTGTGTTATCTTGCTAACAATAATAACAATAAACTTTGAGGATTTTTCCGGCAGTATCTGCGTCTGTCCTCTCCTGCTTGTACTTGCCAGGCACACCTCTTTAGCTCTTTTCACATTTAACTTCTGCAGGGAGCTGACCGGATATTCTTCTCTTCTGTGTTCTTTTCTTATTATGTCTGTGGTGTCCACCTTCACCAAGTCCGAGTCAAACAAAGGAAACCTGAGAAACAAAATGATTTCTGGCCAAAAATAGCTTCCCTCTCAACCACAGTAAACACGTTAACTTCCGTGAAGCAGACTTTCATGCTGTGTGATTGGGTCATCAATTTGAAAACCTTGATTCTGATTGGTCAAATTGAAAACACTGCGCTAGTGGTCTGGGTGCGAGGGCACACTTCGCCCCTGTGTACACATGTGTGTTTACAAATGATGTGATTTAAAGTATGCTTATTACTATATGTTGTTGTTCTTTGTTTGTTAAGTTAACAACATGTGCTGCTTCCTTCTTGGCCAGGTTACCCCTATGAAAGAGGTCTCTGATCTCAACTAGCTATTTACCTGATTTGAAAAAAATAAAAGAAAGAAAAGAAATTATAAAAAATATAAGAAATAATATGCTTTTGAAAAATATATTTTAATGTTAAAAAATATGTTTTAAAAATCATACTTCTAGAAATCAGGCTGAAACATGTGGCAATTACATAAATAATTACAATATTTTGCAGTAGCCTACACAATGAAGCATATTTGGCATAAATATATTTTTAACCCACTAGAAGTGTAATTGTTTAACAATGTACTTTCACAAAATACACCTAAATAGTATTTACTAAGAGTTAAATAAATATTAATAATTAGACTAAAATGTTGTGAAAAATATGCTTTTATTTAAGCATATTTATGTTTGATTAAGTATATTTATTACCAATTTATTCAAAGTATACTTTGGAGAAGTATGTTAAAGCTCAGGAGACTATATCTTTAATATAGTAAGCATGTTAGCAGTATGTACTATAAGCATACTATGTGAATTTCTTGTACATTTTCAGTGCCTTTAAGAGCACTTCTTTTTGATCTGGGTTGTCTTGTTCTTTGTTCATCTTCCTCTTGTTGCTTCTTTTCTTTCACATTTTGATTTCTGCTATCAGTGTTTTCCAGGCGCTATTTAGTCTCTAATGCCAGTGTCACACACAGTTTCCTGTTTTTGACTCCACTGTCCTTTGAATGAGTCAAACCATCTCCATCTCTGCAGTAACGTTGCTGCTGATTATCTTCTTTCCACTTCTGTCCATTACATACAGTATATGTGATCACAGTGTTCTTCACTCACAAATACATTACACCAGTGAGATCTGGACGAGGTTTCGTCAGATGAAAGCAGGTAAGGGCAGTCATTTTCTGTGGTATAATGGTATAATTTAAGCAAGTGATCGGAATATTGTCATTTCTCCTTTTTAAATTGGTAGTTGGTCACCACTGGTCAAACACATTAAAAAGATTTTCAGTGTGTCTTTCATCAAGGTGCACAATGAAATCGCATCAAGGATCAGCTTTTAAAGACAGACCTCATTTGTTACAGCTGGCAATTTGCCATCCACGGGTGGGCAGCATCTGTGACTAAATTTTGACACACAGATTCGTGAAGAAAAAGACACACAGAGAGCAATTAGCCCCCTGACTTAATATGACATTTGACACATTAAACCACAGGAACATATGAAAGCTCTATTAACTTGCTGAATCTCGTAAACCTTTAGACTTTTTTTGAATCATTCCCATTTGCTCCCTTCGCAGCACTGCTGAACTTCACAGCTGTTTGAGGCTGTTATCTGTATTGTAATAATACTTTGGTGTTTTTTTTAAATTAATTTTACATATCTCCATATAGTTGATTAACAGCCAACAACAAAGGGAATCACCCATATTAAACCATAATTCAAAGTACCAAATTTAGGATGAACTTAGCAGGCTGAATCAGCTCAAAAAGTGTGTGTAGGTTGGTCTGCAAGCTTTTTAAGCTTGTTATATGTGGGCGAAACACTGAACATTAGATATGCCTGTATTTTCCTTCAGTTTGCTTGACTCTTAATATAGATGCTATCCATTATCAGCCAATCACAAAGATGTCACCAGAGCGACCCACCGGCACACTCTGTCATAGTGATCCATCAAAGGCAAAGGACATGACACTGTCAGTCTGAGACGAATACTTCTGTCGCCGAGGAGATAAGTCACTGAACTTAGGATTCCTTCAGCTGTTGGTAGAGATCGAGGCAGACAATGACCTTGCACCAGAGCTGTTAGGCACTGCAGCCCATTGGGGCTGTAATTGCCTGTCAAGCAGCAGACATGGGGTTTGATAGAGTGGTTGGACAGAGTAATCCAGGTGTTTGCAGTGTCAATATGGGCCCTGCCAAGGCCTGTGATAGGAGGCCAGAAGAATACACTGTGACGTGTGTCCCTCTTGTCCCAATTTGAATCTTATTAGGCTGTTTAGTGCATTATGTGTCAGCATTTCCCACATATAGATATTAACAGCTGCCCAGGTATATTTGGCGACCAATTTTAGCATGGTGCAGAGAAACAAAGAGAGAGTTGTTATCTATTGTGTTACACAGACAAGCGACAGTGAACAGTGAACACAACAGTGCAGATGTCATTCAGTAACACATTGGTTGCGATCGTTTCGATAGGCTACATCATTAATAAGCTTCCTTCAAATGCAGCACAGCTGGTGCTGTGAAAACAGAATTGCAGGTTCTGTATAAGGCTGACCCCGAATAGTCAAAGAGTCGATGCTTCGATGGTGGAGCCTGATTCGACTCTCAATCTCACAGTTGAAGCTTCGCAGCGAAACAAGGATCAAGCCATTTTGGCGATATGGAACATTTACATAGAACCACCAGTTTTCTCCCAGTAAGTTAATATACAGCTTATTACGATATACAATTCAACATATAATGATGTAAATAAACATACAAACAATAAACAAAGAATAAAACTTTCAAAAATGTTTTCGAAGTGCGTGAATAACCCTAACCCTGGGTTGTCAGTGCGCATGTATAAGCGTAGCGTGTATGCAGTGGCAGTGGAGGAACACTGGTGTTGTGTGGTGTTGTCCGAACCTCGCGGGACATGCGGATAATTTATCACCGTACCACACAAAAAATATTTTATCGTTTTTAAATAGCCGGCTACTTGAAATAGACCCACGAGGAACCGCGACGTGCATGCCGTTGTCGGCAGAAGTAATGCACGTAAAACTCTGCATAAGACCGGTGAATGACGGCGAGAGAGAGAGAGAGCGCCTCAGTTTAGCTGGAAATTTACAGTGTAAATTGAATAGAGACTGCAGCTCTGCAGCTTTTCAAGATTAACGCGGAGCTACCATGTAACACAAAAGAATGACCAACGGTTGGTGGGCTGTTTTTTCTATTAGCGCAATGCATGATGGAATGTAGGGCTTGTTTAGTGACCATCGGTTGTACACTTTTCAAAATGCATTCTGGGATACTTTGACTGGACGTGGTATAACAATTCTCACTATACATTCAGACAGCACTACAAAATGGCGAGCTCATTATATAGTCCACTATATAATGAATAGTGGGTGATTTCGGACACATCCAAGAGGCGGGGCAAGCTGGTAAGAGACCAGAGTTCTAGGTGTGTGTATATGGAATAGAGAAGTGAAGAGAAAGGGAGCAGATTCAAATAGTGGTTAGACACTAAAATGAGGTGGAGAATCAGGTAGAATTGAAATGGTGAAATACTAGAAATTGAAAAATACCCCATGGCTGCGGTTGCTGACACAGTTACACTGTCATTCTGTGGGAAACACTGTGTGTGGTCACTAGTGTTGTAGTACTTGAGACCGGTCTTGGTCTTGAGACCGGTCTTAAGACCATATATTGATGATCTTGGTCTTGTCTTGGACTCGACGACATTTGTGCTCTGTCTGGTCTCGGATTCGGACATTGAGGACTCTGGATTTTATTTCAAGACAATAACTTTGAGAATATCAATAAACTGCTTTTGCATTGTCTGATTTATTTGTTAACATCCTAACTTGATTGGATGTAAAATGTATTGCTTCAAATGCAACCAATAGCCCTAATTAAAAATGTGTTGTTCCCGTTAACGACTGTCATCCTCCCCGCGATGGTAAGCGTGGAAAAGGAGCGTTGAATAAAGATGCTTACGTTGATTTCGCCTCTTAGTGTTTGTATGGGGTATTTTAATGGGAATCTGGATCTTTCAGATCAATTTGAGAAGTATCTATGATCACGTTTCACATTTTAGTGTGTCATGTAATGTGGGGTACCTGTGTTGGTCTCGACTTGGTCTCAGCCCCTAAAGTTGGCTTGTCTCGGTTCGATAAACCCTGGTCTTGGTCTTGACTTGGTCTCATTTTGGGCGGTCTTGACTACAACTAGTGGTCACTAAAGATGGCATCACTTTGAGGTTGACAGATTCCGTCAGGCTCTTTTACTGTGTTATAATGTGGACTTGCACCTGACTTGTTAATGCATCTGCAGTGTACACATTAGAGATATATTGAGAGATCAGATTTCCATTACCAAAAGCTAGATCCTT